TGGGGCACCATGTGGCTTCCCTTCCCCTCTTCCCTACCAGACTACCCTTACCCCAAGCTAAAAAATAACCAGTAAGCTAACCAGTTATCACTGCACTTACCGGTTAAATGATTAATTGTTTAACCGATTTCACATCCCTAGTCAGGAATTTTACCCCATGGTCAGATTGGTATGGATGGCGCCGGTTTTTGCCTTCCTTTGCACCAGGGGTCATGGCCCTCTACCAGGATCTCTTTAGACTATATTGTAAACACTTTATAGAAGCAGGGCATTGGCTGCCCAGGCTCCCCTACTTTACTTGTGGCAGGTTAGGGTGTTAGGTTTGTGTTGTGTCAAGGTTGACACAAGTTTTATGTAGAGTTTAGATTATGGTTTGCTTGGGATGATTTGGATAGGGATCCAGCCTCAGTCAGGGGTTGGACTAGATCAGTGGTTCTCAATCTTTTTTGTACCAGAACCCATTCGTAAACATAGATGGTCAGTCCCAACCCAATAAATAGTTAAAGTAGAAAATAGCCCCCTGGCCCTGCCAGTGCCCCTCACTCCTGACCTGCTCCCCCACCCCCAGTCCCTAGCCCCGCAGTGTGTGGGGAAGGGGGCCCCCAAGCAGCCTCATGCAGGCTGGAACTTTGCCAGCCTGCAAGGGAAAAGTCACAGCTTCCAACATTTTTCTCCTTTAAACGAGAATCGATTTTTACAGTTTGTTGATCCATTTTTTTTTAATTTGTCCACAACCCTTTCATATATTCTTGTGACCCACTTTTGGGTCGCAATCCATGGGTTGAGGAACACTGAACTAGACCTCTGGACATCCCTTCTAGCCCTACTTCTCTGACTCTACTACTGTAGCCTTTTGTAAAAAAGCCTATTTCGTATGACAACCATTATACTAGAAACAAGACCTGGAGACGTTACACAGCATTGGCCAAACGTCCAGAACTCAAATGCACCACTTAAGAATGCTGTGGATGATCATCCACTTTTGGGCTGATTCAAGGCTACCACTTGGAAGTTTCTAACGTGATGTGTAAAAGCAATATTGTAGAAGGCAAACAAAACTCTTATTTTGTTTTTAACACTGGGATATGCAAATTCGATAAGATTAGAAAGGGACCCTATAAAAAAAGTTTCTACAACAACTTTAACAATGTTACCTAAAATTGCCTTGTAAGCAAGTTTGTGGCAGAGTTTAGAAACAAGCCTGTTTGTTTTCTTATGAATGCTTTGCCTCTCTACACAATCAACCTCCAGTAAAAGCTGATACATTTTCAACTCAGCCAGCTGCACAAGCAGCAAATCTTTTTCCAGAGCCCAGAAAAGAAGAGGGGTGTGCAGCTGAATGCAATCACCTTTAGTTTTGTCGGAAGCAATATGGGGCACTGGGCCCAGCCCCTTGTAGGATTTTTTTCACATGAAGAATAAGTATATCCTTGTCCTTGCACAGCATGAATGCCTAGTTAGGTGTAAGGCACCAGGCTTTAACCTAGACCAGGGGTTAGGTTAACCCCTGGTATGCATGCCAAGCATGGCACACAAGGCCATTTTGCTTGGCAGGCCACAGCCAACCCCAGCTCCGGGTAGCTGCTGCCAGCGACAGAGCCTGGGCTTCTCCCAGCGGGGCTTGCAGCGTCCCAGCTGCCTGCTGGGAGTAGCCCGGGATCCCGGCTGGCAGCAGCTCCCCAGAGCCAGGGCCAACTGCAGCCGGGAGGCTCCAATCAACTATGCTGAGCTCCAGCATCAGCTCTGCACCGGCGCGTGCAGGCATGCCTCTGAGCAGGTGGCCCCCCCCCCAGGCAGCTCAGTCCTGGTCTCTCCCCTTCTCCCGGCACGGAGGTGATAGCAGGGCTCCGGAGCCCAGTGCAGCTGTTTGTAGCCAGCCCAGGCTCTGGGCAGCTGCAGCAAGCAGCAGACATGCTGCAAACAGCTGCGCCAGGCTCCACAGCTCCGACATCAGCTCCGTGCCAGCAGTGAGTGAACAGGCACCTCGGGATAGGCTGCACTCCCCTGCTGCCTGCCCTGAGGTGCCTGTGCAGTCGCTGCCGGCATGGAGCTGATGCCAGAGCTGTGGGGCCCAGTGCTGCTGTTTGCAGCCTGCCTGCTGCTTGCTGCAGCTGTCCAGAGCCCGGGCTGGCTACAAACAGCTGCGCTGGGCTCCGGAGCCCTGCTATCACCTCCGTGCTAGGAACAGGGGAGAGACCAGGACTGCGTCGCCTCAGGCCCCTCCCCCACACGCCGGTGCAGAGCTGATGCCGGAGCCCAGAGCTGGCACAGCTGTTTGGAGCCTCCCGGCTCTGGGGAGCTGCTGCCAGCTGGGAGGCAGGGGCAGTAGGGCTGGGGGGCACCAGGGCTGGGGGTTAAGGGCTTTGAGTGGGGGGCAAGGGACACAAGCAGGGCCTACCCCTGACTAAGACTGATGAATTGGCTTGGGAGGCCAAGACCAAGATGTTAAACTGAGTGCAATATGGAGGTTTTTCCAGAATCAGTGTGGTTAAAACACCAGCCATGTGCTCCCATTGCCATGCATTGCTGAACCAGTGGGTTGTTCTGTTTTGTTCCATATGAAATGGGTAGGTTATCGATCCAGTCATTTGCAAACAGAAGGAAACAAGCAACAGGGTATTGGCAAAGGAGGCCAGTAGCCAGGGGTATTTGTAGCCAAAACATTATACAGAAGTCAGAGGTGGCAAATGAGTTATACGTGGGTTTTACGACCAAAACCTGCAAAACTATTCAACTTTGTACTCATTTTATAGCACAGCTGGGCTTAACCCTCCCTACTTTAAGGGCAGTTCCTCTGCCACAATGACAATAGTAGATAAAAAAAAACAAAAACATATAGTTACAATATACTATTGCCCAATACAAATGATACCACAGCTTTCAGCATTAGAGAGATTGTTACACTCCTTTTGCTGGAAGGAAAGGGAATCAACGGAAAATGGCAAATTCTATTTAAATGCCCTCACAGGATCAGTTATGCTGGAACAGTCCTTCACTAGACTCATGTTAAAATTTATTAGCATTTTGCTGCCACATACCACACATACTGCAGAGACCTAGCTAGAAGTCTTGCACTTTTCTCATTAGCTACATGATGGGCAGCATTTCCACACTCCAAATCATTTATCTTAGACAGATATCCTGGCATGCAGGCATGAGGGTAGCAAATTTGAGAGGGGGCACATTGGCTCTACAAGGCAACTGCACTTGTTAATAATGTCAAGCAAGCTACAACCCTCCACCCCAACCCCTTATTTGGTGGCAATTCTCATTAATTTACCCCTAGAGGCAACTACTTCTGTATTTTGCATT